TTGAACCTTTATCAAAATAGTTACGTCAGCATATCTGCTGTAGTCTCTGAATCCGTTTTCAGCCCTTCATGAGAAATTTCGTCTGCAACTGCTCCTCTCCCGGTTGCCTTTCACTAACTTTACGGTATTCAAGACTTCTGTTTTTGTTGCGCGACTGGTGTCCACTAGTGATTCTATGTATGTTGGTGGTGTTTCTGGACGAGAAGTTCATCAAAAAATACCCGAAAGCAATAAGCCCCAGAAAAACTATCCAAACAGTTCCAGAGGAATCTGTATATATACCCATTCACCATTCAAAGGAAATAATGTATACAAAAAGTAGGCAAACGAAGGCTTAACAAAGCTATCAAGAGAACTTATTATGCTTCAAAACTCATCTTTCTTAGCACTACCAAGCGGGTAATTCAACAATCTGGGTAAGACCAGTTTCCAAGCCTTGACACTTCAAACTGCGTACATCAGTTTGATGATGATGATGATGATGATACATTGGTGCCACAGAGGTGATTGTGCTGTGCTCTGCCTATTCCTTATTCTAATCAAATCAATAAATCGGTGAATCAATCATTTCTTTTTCTTATGTTTGCTTTCTCACACTTGGTGAATGTCCACTTTGTCGGTGTCGATTGATTTCCTCCAACTGTGTAGATGTGGGTGTGCATGTGTGTGCTTCTGTTCTCTTTGTTCTCTCTTACAGTTTAGTATTTCTCGTCCTATATAATTACAACATGTTGAAAGCCAAAGTTTATAAAATACCGGCCTGTGGGGAAATAGCCAATCATTAAGCGGTGTTGGGATAGCCAATCAAGTTAGCCGTATAGTAAAACAAACCATTATTGGAATAGATATTTCCCTTTAGATTTGATTGTTTAAAGTTATACCGACTGAGATGGTTAGGATATGTGTGTGTTACGCATGCTTGGCCTAGTCTAGCCTAGCCTAGCCTAGCCATCGTCTTCCTCAGCAATGGGCAGCAATGGTAACTGATTGTAAAAGAGCTAGCATGTGGTAGTCAAACCAAAGCGGTAGCTCCATCAGTCAATGAAATCCACAACAGTTAGTTTAAGCCAACCAACCAGCCACGTAGGGAGATGTAGACTAGCTTCCTGTTTGAGGTCCTCGGGATGGTAAACACCAATGAAGGCTGAAGACAATTGGTGATATGGTTGAAAATTGTTGTCAGTGGTTCGTGGAGAGGCATTCACTCTTTGTGATTTGTCATATTCAATGAAACTCTCTATTGTTCTCTCATATAACTACTATTCTTTTTGTCGCACTCAAACTACTGCTTATTATCTCTCTCTCTTTTGAATCGCTCTTTACTCTCTTCTGTTGGTTTGTGTGGTACATGAAGGGAGTGTGTCAACTTGAACTGGTGCACCACACATCTGTGCAAAGTTCTTTGTTGAAATCAGTCAGTCATTTGGTTGGTGTTTTCTGAGCTGGGCCTTCATCATTGTCACTACAGACTTCAAGTATAATGTAGACTTTGATGAAGGATACAATTGTCTCTAAATATTCCTATTGTTAATATTAGAACAAGACATATAAAAGTGGACAATATTGTTGTTTTCAATTAGATCTTCTTCAGACTTTACTCTAATTTACATAGATTTATATATATGCAGAAAGAATTTAACAAATGATGGTGAGTTTGTGGAACAATGTTAACAATAATAATAATAATAATAATAATAATAATAATAATAAAGGTTTCTGCAGGTGGCGATAAGAATAACGAAGTTAGTTATATATGTGTGTATATGTGAACAATTCAATAAATAAATAAATAAACAAATTAGGTCAACTCTTAAAAGTTACGTGGAGGTGACACAGATAATCAGAGTTTAATAAATATCATAAAAGTACGAAGGAAATGGAAAATAAGAAAGGGTCGGCAGGGTTTTGATTAGAATTTACCTAGGTAAGCAAGGAAAAGACAAAGGATGGAACAAACTTCTTTTTTTATTTGGTGTGTCTCAGTAGCATATCACTTCTACCCTGTGACACGGTAGCAGGAAGCGCGATCGTTGTTAATCCGGGCCCTGACCGATCCGGCTATTGTAATTTTGTTTGGGTCATAGCATTGGATTGGGTAACTGCTTTTTGTCTAACCGCTATCCAAACAACCTTTCTGGAATGGTAGGACCTCAAGCGACATAAGTCTCAGCCAGTTTAGCTTGTTGGGTCATTGCGGTGTTCAAGCCCGACCACCACGTCAAGGTAGCAGCTTTCGGTCGGGAAGTAATGTTGACGTTAGGCGTAGAGTGTTGGGCAAACGGGGGAAATCAATTGAAGAGGCTATAAAGTTATATAGATTGAGATGGCTAGGTCACGTGCTGCGCATGCCTAGCCATCGCCCCCCCCCCCCCGACGGGCATTACTAGCTGATATAGGTGCAGGTTGGAAAAGAGTAAGTGGTGGCCAAACAAGAACATGGCATCAATCCATGAAATCCTTGACAGTTAAACTGAGTCAGGTAGGGAGATGCAGATTTCTGGGGACTCTGCGAATCAATGGCTGGAGACAATAGGTGACATGGCTCAAAATCGTTGTCAATGGCTTACGCAGATGTATTCAGTCTCTGTAATCTCTCATATTCCTTTCTACCATTACTAATTCTGTTTCACTCTCATACTTGTCCAAACTCTATTGATTCTCTTCACTCATTTTTTTGTCTACCTTTGTGTGCTATTTGGAACGTGGCAACTCGAACTGCTGCACTTCGGTGCCAGGTTCTATGTTGAATCCAGACAGACAGAGCATTTGCCTAGGAGCTGAAATCAGCTGAAGTCAAAGTAGCAAAGAGTTTAATAACAAAGCACTTTGTGGACTACGGAAATGATATTGACACGCGCTCTCAAGTCACTTACTGTTATTGTCAGCAGACAAATAAACAGAAGGAGACTTTCTGTTGCGGAGGAGTTTTGTGCAACTAGAGTTTATAAACCAGGTCTCCGAGTATACAGAGGGAAGTGCTAGTCACTCCGAATCTACCGTGGTAATATATTTTACTTATTAATTCTTATTATTAGTAATAATTATAAAATTTTATTCTACCTTTTATTAATACTATCACTGATTCATTTAAAACTGTCTTGTATGATCTTAACTTGCTCCAACATTAGTATTATTATCATTATTATTATTATTATAATTACTCAGCTTGCAAGTCTTGACATATTCAAGTTCTTCCTCTGGTGACTAATTGTTTATTTAAGTGATTTAATTGAACCGTAATGCAATTCACCGTAATTTTAATCTCTCATACCCGTTTCCCACCCCTTACCTCTCTGAATACGATCTGGAAAATATTCACACCTCTCGTTTTGCATGACTGATCCAATGTAGTTTACCTACTTGTCAGTTTTATATCTCTCTTTAAGTAGGGCATTCAGCTGACGAGTTTTACTGGAATTTGATGAATTCATTAAAACCTGTTTCACTATAACTTCTGTTAATTGTTTTAAATCCCTGTCGACAAACACATGTTTCCATTTCTGGGATAGCTGAAGATGGTAGTCTATTGAAGAGTCCTTTAAAGGGATCAGCCCATTGTTTTATCTGTCTCTCCTCTTTGCTAATCAGGCTACCTAGGACATCTTTTATTGGTCTCATAATCTGGGTTGACCCCTTTCCGGATAGACACCTGGTTATTTGACAAACTGTTCTAAGGTCTCTCTCACCTGAGGCCTGTTTCGCCTCAGTTGACAGTGTCTTGTAGAAATGTATTTTGTTGCTCCTAGCACTCTTCTTCACTTCTTTATTCAGTGCAGTGTACATTGCTGTGAACTCAGCTTCTCCTTCTCTGGTCCATCTGTGCATTAGATCATCTTCTATTTCACCATCCTCCTGTCTTCTATTAGCTTCCAGGTAGGTGTCCGTTGACAGTGAAAGCGCAGAAGTCTGAGAATAATTCTCCGTTCTCATTCATTTAGCCGATCGAGAGCCTGTTGACCCATGATTAGTCCTCTTCCTCTATTTTCTGCCTTAAGTTATAGTTATATTCCTATCAATAATTATTATTTAGGAATCAACATTCTAGTGGGCTACTGTCGTCTGTAGAGAAGCTTTAGATGCCATAGGTGACAGATATGGTGATAGCCACTCCGTCAATCACTGTGCTCATGATTATTGTCTGGGTGACCGGAGTAGATTACTGACTGTCTTCATTGAAGATTTCGGAGAGTTGTGCGTATGTATTCGATTTTCCTCTTTTCTCTGTCTGACACCTCTATCTCAGTTTCCGCAGTTCCGACGACTGTACACACATTAGGTAGACTTTTCGGTAGATGTTCGGAAAATCGGAGGTGCTCCCGCAGACACGTGTAAATTGGTATACACAGTTAAGTCTGTTAACATGAGAAAGGTATCTGTCGACTTTTGATTGTAAAAAAAGGGATATGTTGTCTGATAAATGGGAACCAAGTTATTTAGGTGCAGGAGACAGGCTCCGACTATTGATGCATGCAATCTTCCGTTGAACAGTCCTGCAGTATATTTTCACCTCTGAAATCCGGCTGAATGAGGGTTGGCTTTTTCTCCACTTTGGTTTGTTTGACATTTGAGCCTCGCATATATCTTTCGTACTTGTCAATGAATCTCTAAGGATAACTGTTGTGTTTTCAACATCGTTTCGAGAATCACCAGTTCTTTCTTTAATTTCGCTGTGTACAACATATTCTCCTAAATCTATAGAAGGGAGTTTTGACTAGTGCTCGCCCTGATAGCTATTTGTACAGAAACTAGTAAGACGTAGGTATTGCCCACTCTGTGTTGGCTTTCTGGAGACTATAGCCAAATAAACCGATTTGCCATTATTTTTATTGATCTCTTTTTCTCTCTTAAGTTAAAAATCAATACTTTTCAAACATTACACAAAATACTAATTACTTTTAGTTGATAGATAATAATAGTATTTTCGTGTAATATGTATGAATTCACTAAAGAAGGAATTATGTATTTCAGAATTAATTAAAATCTTCATTTATTTAATAATCATTTAATTGATAATTTCATTGGGATATTCACTGTTTAATTCAATTATACCATTGGTTCACAATTATGTCTAAATTATCACCGGATCAGATCAACGTCCTTTCAGTTCGCGCCTACTATGATAATAAAACATTTACAAATACAACTGAAATGACAAATTTGTTGAAATATGAAAGTCAACATTTCCGATGTAAAGTCCAGCTAGAGATTAGTGAATGTATTGCCGACCGATGTTGGAGTATTGGCCTCATACAGGCATGCGATCGTATGTATCTAGAGAACCGTTACGGACATAGTGGTAGTTCTTTTTGGGAATTCCACCCTCTGAAAAGTGGACGACATAAAATGGTCAATGATAGCGACGGGAGACAGTATCCTTTCTATAGTCTAACAAGTAGTAAATTTGAAATACGTCGAGGTGTTGTGTCGGATAGTCTGGTGTCGTTGACCTATGAGGATCATTTCTATCCAACTGTTGCTTGGGAGTTGCCCTACTATGGTGGCGCGAAATTGACAGATGTGATAAGGAAACAAGACTTTTGGGTTTGGCTAGTCGCTATCAAACGTGCTAGTAGTCGTTCAATCTCATGTGATCTCTTCAATGCAAAACACGATGAAGTATACATTTTGAAGACAATGCGTTGGCGTTACAGCCTACACATGACTTTTGATCCGCACCAACCAATCGGGAAACGTTTACAAAGAATTTACGATGTGCAAGAGGAGCAACCAATCATTTTAGATGGGAACAGATCTCTTCCCCTTTCAGCTCTAAGTCCACCACACTGTAATGCTGCTCAATCGCTTATCTGGTATCCGAATAATCCTACAGATCGACCGAAATTACTTGTCCCACCGAAACAAATTATTGTCCCCTGGGAAACATGGATTAGTGATATGGCACCGGGAAGGAGTTTGAATGTTAAAAAACCAGAACAATGTAAGCTTGTCGGGGAATGGTCCCACGATACAGAGATTGGGATTGACACAACAACAGATAGTTGTTGTCTGACAAAAGCAGGATATGGCAGTGGCAGTAGTCGTGGTTGGAAGACAACAGCACCGATAGATCCAGCTGTCACTGGTGCCACAGCTACGAACAACACAGTCTCTACTTCAAGATCTACGCGTACACCAAGTCGTCCAAGAGGATAAACACTGTAGCGATTGAATCGTAAACACCTGATTTATCTTTATTCATCAAAAAGGATCACATTTATTTTCTATTACTTTTTATTCCATTTTATCAGAGAAGATCACTGATGAAGAGATCAGCATCATCAATTACACAAGGATAAATTGATAGAAGGGGATTTATTTCAAAAATGTCTTTGTTTATAGATTTTACTTTTTGAATATTCTGTTCTCTAAATGACAATTCTAGAAACGACAATAATACTATTAATAATTAATTATCTAATTGCTGTCATTGTCTAAAGTGAGTTTTCATGGGGTTTTGTGCGTGTTCCCCGGTGAGTGGTCACCTACCTACTCACCAGAACATTGAATTATCTGTCTTTTTAAGTTTGCTTTCCATCGCATTTTATTTATCTGTATATATACAGTCAGATAGATATGTATGCATTCTTTTGAGTTGAGTTGTTTGTAAAATATTTTCAGTAAGTTTATTTTTTTAAAAATTTATTTTGCTTTCTTTTTTCAATTATTTTATTATTTTATCAATCAATAATTATCATTATTATTATTACTAATAATAAAATATATATGTGGCATAGACAGCAATCTGAGTTCCGAGTGGAAAATATTGGAGGTCTCCAAGCTTTGAGCAGCAGCGTTCGAATTATGTTGACTGATTGACAGATGTCCTGCACTTCGAGTTGCCAGTCTCCCTCCATATAACACACAGCAAGAGAAGAGAGAGGGTAAAGAGATATTCATTAAAAAAGAGAGTGAGACAATAAACAGAAGTGTGAGTGAGGGTGAAAGAATAGTAATAACAACACAAGTCACACACAGATTGAACGGATCTTCTCCAGCCATTGAGAACGGGGATTTTGAGCCATATTACACTAATTGTCTCCAGGCGTCATTGGTTCTTAAAATCCCGAAAACCCCGAACAGGTAGGCAGACAGTTTACACCTACCTACTTGGTGGCTGACTGTCTGGCTTAAGCTAACTGCTGTTATGGATTTCATTGACTGATGAAGCCATGTTTTGGTCTGACCACCCACCACTAGCTAACTCTTTTCCAAACCTGATCCATCCTATGTCAGCTCACATAACATTCCCGTTGAGGAAGGCAATCAATGGCTAGCCTAGCATGCTTAACACATATCCTAACTATCTCAATTGACACAACTTCTTCACAACCTTGCCTACCACTCGACTGATGCCTCACCTCTAAATATTACTCACCCTATTATACCACTTAAATAACACGGGAGATGGAACGCAGACACCTATTATCAAAGATAGCTAGCCGGTCTTTCCATGACTTTCACTTTCAGTGGCTTACATGTTTCACTCACAGACATACAGGAGGAAGGAGCGGACTGCTGCTGCTGAGCAGTAGACACGTCCTTTGATTGGCTGTCAGTCAGCCGGATATTACCTCTATTGTAGAGATGACCTCAGCTGGCAAATGCCACACGAACGAGTCTTTTTCATCCATGCCAAGATTTTCTTAGAAATCACTCCGTCTAGGTTGGTGCAACTTTCCAAATAAGTGAAGCCGTTAGCAACACGCTCCACCAATCTGCTTCTGCTTATCTTTAAGTCAGCTGAGAGTTGAAGTAGTTCACTCCCGTAGCCTCATCATACTATATTTGACAGGAGCAAATCGTATGCCAAATATTCGAAAATTGCTGCTCCTCAAGGTATCAAGAGTAGACTCAAACTGTATTTTGTCAGCGACTTACTTTCCTTGGAGGATGACTGTATCATCAGTATATTATTCTAAGTCAACAAGATTATTCTTTGGTGGTAACAAGTCAATACCTGAGTCTCTGAAGTCAGTTAAGGTTATACTTTTATACACAGTTGGCGTTGATAGCTTGACATGTCCAACCTACCCTTTTTATAGAAAAGATTTGTAGCTCAGGTGGGTGATTTGCAATTAATAGTGTTCTCTGAGCTGGTTGTTTTAGTTGTGAAGCTTTCGTTGTCCTTCTGGACAACGTATTCAGTGTAATTTAAATTTCTTCATGAGTGCTAGAATTGGGTCTCCTGGTAACCATCTTTACATTTGTATTGATCATTTTCTATTGACTTGGATTTCAAAATTTGTGTTCACATGATTTACTTTTTATTAGTTGGTATATTTGGTCTATATTAACGTGTTCGTTAACTACATATTCGTTTGAGTACCAGGCTTTTAGGAATTCCCTGGCAATTTTGGTGTTTCCTCTGTCTAAAATTTCGACATTATCCCAATCAAACTGATGTCCATAATTGTCTATATGCATTGATATGAAAGAATATATATCGTGTTTTTTACGGCTGATTTTTGTTCCTGGACTCTGATTCGATCCCATTGGGATCACCCGTATCAGGATTAATAGCTGAAGCCGTCATGCCAAGGTTAGAATTAATACATCTACCTATAATTAAACCGAAAATTTGGGTACGTTACGTTGGTGATACATTTGTATTAATAAAAGAAATGTGATTTAGAATATACCCATAAATTAATAAACAACATATTTGAAGACATCAAATTCACAAGAGAAGAAGAATTAGATAACAGAATCTAATTTTTAGATGTCTTAATCAGGAGAACCAACACAGGAGATTTAGAAACACAAGTATGTAGAAAATCAACGCACACAGATCAAATACTCAACTACACCCAATTACTCACAAAAGAAATTGTGTGCAGACATTGTTCAAACACACTGTAGCACTCCAGCGTTGAAAAGAATGGAAGAAAAATACCTACGAACGGTTTTCAAAAAGAATGGTTATCCACAAAATTTCATCAAAGTGTTTAAAATCGAATCACAACACCAACAAGGAACCATTATCAAAGAACACAAGAAAATTCATCCTACCACAAATAAAAAATATCTCTGAAATAACAGCTAGAATATTGGAACCGTTTGAAATAGATATAGCACACAAGCCAGTCAAATCACTTTATTCGATATTGTACAAACCGAAAGATCCAATAGGAAAAGAAGATAAAATTAATACCATTTACAAAATAAGTTGTATGAACCGTAACAGGCATTACATTGGTCAAAGTGGGCATCCCCTTCAAATCAGAGTCCAGGAACAAAAATCAGCCGTGAAAAAACACGATATATATTCTTTCATATCAATGCATATAGATAATTACGGACATCAGTTTGATTGGGATAATGTCGAAATTTTAGACAGAGGAAACACCAAAATTGCCAGGGAATTCCTAGAAGCCTGGTACTCAAACGAATATGCAGTTAACGAACACGTTAATATAGACCAAATATACCAACTAATAAAAAGTAAATCATGTGAACAGAAAGTTTAAAATTCAAGTCGATAGAAAAGGATCAATCAAGTCGTCAATGCATACATAGACTAAGGGGGGTGGGACACAGAATACCAGATCGATTAAGCAGTAGAATGTCTAGGCAGTGTTCATTAGTCCAGAAGATATGCAGACAAATGCGTACAAGTCAAATGGTGTAGTAACAGCTGTTTTTGGAATATCTTCTGGATGGATAAGAATGTGATGATAAGCTCTTTCAAGGTCGATTTTTATAGAAAATCCTAACATATAGCGAATTGTGGATAAGGTTTTGTATTAGGTAATAAGTGTAAGAATGGAACTTGTGCACTGTAGTAGAGTATTATTTTATTGTGGATAATAGGAGGAGATATTGGGTGTCTATCAGATACTGTTTGTCTGTTTGAGCTCGGTAATCACCACACGACTGCGCTTCACCAGTAGAGCTTTCGAGAACCACGTGAAATGGTGAAGACCAAGAGCTATTAGATGGTCGAATAATACCAAACTCCAGCACTCTATCGAATTCTGCCTTTTCAGTACCAAGTTGGTGTGGATCAAGGCATCAAGGACGGGCAAAATTTAATGGTCTAGCAGTTTCAGTATGATCAACCACTTGATGTCCCATGTTGATTTTCCTCAAAGAAGGTTGAGGGAAATTAAGAAACTGCTTCACTAACTCTGCATCCTGAGGTTGTGAGGTGCACGAGACCATCAGGTTCAGAGATAATGCACGTCTGACTGTACCACCAATGTAAGCTCTATTGAGTGGGTCAATCAGTTTGGGACTAATTGGGTCTACCACTAATGTATGGTGCCATTAGAAATCAGTGCTCAAGATTAGCCGTGGGACATCCGCAATGACAAATGACCTATTACAGTCGTTCTGGAGACCGAAGTCTAAAGTCATGTGTTTAAATCCGCAGGTAACAACACTAAACTTGCTAACAGCTTGAAGTGTTACTACTGGGTTGGGATGGTGACGCTCATGTTCACTTCTGCTCCCGCGTCAACCAAGAGTGTAGCTGTGGCATTTCGATCCGTTAGGTAGAACAAATGGCTATTAGATTACTGATTGCTGATGACGGAAGTTGTCACAAATCCCTACATATCCTTTAAATTTATCTGGAAATTGCAAGGAAGACGGTCTAGGAAGCCAGTTAGCTGGGCTGCTTGCACAGTTAGCTTCGACTGGAAGTAATGCCCGTGATTGATGTGTATCTATCAATCCTACTAGACCTTGGCGCTAGCCACAATACCTACTGACTCTTCAGCATGGCACAACTAACGTGGTGGTCAGGCTGCCCTTAACACTGCCGTAACTAGAGAAGGAGGAATATAGCACTTACGGCTGCTGAAAGATGTGACTGTTGCCGATGACTTGCAGAAAGTGCACAAGTAGCTAATCACACCAAAACGAAGCTGCCAAGCTCTTGCCCCTTGAAAATCATATTGACCACCTTATGTTTCAGTCCTCATGAATAAACAGATTGATTGCTGATGGTTAAACGGCCGAGGCTCATTTGAGTTAGCGAACTTCTTTGATTCCCTACAACTGTATCGTCGAACACTGCTTCCTTAAGTGCGTTGGAACCGACAAATGTTACCAAGATCTCTGGGGATGCCAGATGCCCGAGAACGACGTCAGTGAGATGGACATCAACAACGGATCTGTTGTGTGGGTGTGGTTTGTGATGCTAATGGGTG